CGATTAGCCACGCAGGATGCGTACGCATCGTCGCCAGCTCGTTACTTAGAGAATGAAGTCGCCGTTCATTCTCCAACAGTGCGACAGCATTGTTTGCCCGAGACTTCTCATGGTCAAACCCAAGCTGTCGCAAAATGTCCTCTAAGCGGCGACGCTTATCCCGTTCGTGATCAACATCACAACGTAGCTCACGAGTTACACGGGCAAATCCGTCTAACTTGGCAGACAAGTCCGATGAAAGAATCGGACAGGGTTTTCCCTCCACCACCGCATCCGTTGGTGGACTCTCATCGCGGGAAGCGCTTCCTCGTGGAACGCTTACTAAAGCACCGCGAGGTGAAGGGACGTCGGACGAGTTATCTTGTCCGGTGGCGTGGCTATCCGCCTTCGGCGGGTAGCTGGGAACCTCGGGCCCAACTGATGGCCGGCGTTCCCGGCCTTGTCGAACAGTACGAAAAGGGTCACCCGATGGTAAAGAAGGACCATCGGAAAACGAGCGCCCAGCGCGTTCGTAAAGGGATTGCAAAGTAGCAATCCCTTCACGCATCTCAGAAGAGATGTGAGATCTCCACCAGGGCTCATTAAGGAGGTACGCCTCCTTAGGCGCTCTTGACGAGGTGCTCAGGCACCCCGGACATGGGTCGCCTCAAGAGAGGCATAACAGGCCTGCCTCTCTAGATAACCGGTGCAAACGATAGCATGCACCGGAAGTGCTTCGTTTCTCAAACTTATTGCGGCTAGCATCAAGCCTTTGAAACAAGCCTCTTTCCCAACGTTTGAAACGTTGGTGATAAACGCGTCCCAGGATTGGAGGAACGTATCAGCCTCACGCTTCTTGTGTGGGCCATACCATCGATGTTCAAGGAACACATCGACGTAATAATCGTTCTCAGTGCGAAAGTTCTTCGCACTGGCGTCAAGGCCGTGAAGCTTTGACGCATCAAACAACGGTATGGAACCCGATCAAGCAGATGCTTAGATAGCATCCAAGGCTTGCGATCAGAAGCAAGACGCAAAACGTTGCGGTCTAAAGCCTGCTGCTTGGTGTCAACAGCAGGCTTCTCTTTCTAGGGTTGCTGATAGTGTTTGTGTGACCGTTTGTTTGGCTACTTCGCAGTTAGAGCAGCACAAATATTGGATATATGTGTTTCGTTACTTCGGGCATCCAACTCCGATTCTGCTCGAAGAGCATTCATCACTTGTGCCGACGACGGAGCCAAACGCTGAATCACAGGGTCGTAATGTTTTGAGAATTGCCTAACAACCTCACGATGTGTCTGCAACACATTGCTCAAAATAATCTCAGCGAACTCTTCATCAGAGAGGACTTTTGGTAATGTTGCAGCTCATTCCGCTAAAGTTCCATCTCACGTAGCCAATCATTCATGTTTCTATCATGCGTATACTTGTTTGCATACAGCAGTTGTCGTGCAAAGATGTAATTCGCATACTCTCTCTTGATTTGCTTATCGACAAAGCGCGACCACATCGCGTGAGCGCTTGCCTCGTGACAGACAAGCTCAGCATCTGCTGTTGAAATACCATGCAGAATAGCACCACGAGCAACATTATCCATCAACGCAAATTGTGTAACTGTTGTCGAAGCTTGTACACCCGACTCATTGTCAATTACACCCCACACATGAATGCGGCGTAAGAACGTTTCCAACTCAACCGCAGACAGATCAAAACTTCCATGCATGATCGGCGGTTTGTTGTCAGCTTCAGGTAGTCGACCACCAGCATTAGGCCTTCTCGCTGGAAATTTTGATCCAGGTAATGGGATAGCTGGTTGCGCGGTTGCGGTGGCAAACTCCCCACTCAATCCACTAGATGCAATACCAGACGTCACAGTATCCAGAAATTGGGTTGATTTGTTACGTGTTACTTGGACAGTGCAAGAAGACTTGGGCTCATAGCCTGTCACACTTATCACTGCGCAGGTGAGTGTCGTTGTTCTGTAGGGTGAACAAGACAGAGTAGGGAATAGAGAACACGGAACACTTGCTTCCCACTGAGCAACTTTGGGATTGAGGAGGGAAAAACCTCGTAGGTCACAACCCCCTCTGTTAGACTAGACTACAGTAGATACCAACAGGTTTACCTCAACTGTCAACGGTAACGATGCGTCCCAGCATCATTCGGCTAACTGTTCGATGTCCCACCTAGAATCAGGGACACGACATCTTGTACTTCGCCACAATTGTACGCACTCGTGCTCGCACTGTCGTCACCCGAACAGCGTGAAAACGCATTGGACAACACGTCCTCAGTGAAGGAGGCATCGATTGTTGAGCCAGTGACAACTACCGCGCCATCACACGCGGATACTGCTGAGACGATATGAAGCTCAGTATTGAAACGGTTCTGGTAGTGACTTTGTTTGATTCCTTTTCGATGATGAACGTTCGTCAAGTCTCAATAAATGAACAAGCTGACGAGTTCGTGGCACAAGATGAGGCTTCTTGACATTTAGAGTCCGACGTTGCCAGAATCCGACGTTTCCTGTCGCTGACGTAAGGTCTATGCGTTGATGTGGGAACGAAAGCGACCGTAGACAAGTGCGTCAAGCCTATACACTTGTGTGGACGACTCTCCGTTGGCAATTGAGCCGCAGTTATCCCTTACTGTGAGATGGTTTTGTTTGCTGCGATATCTATAGGCTCTTGCAGCTGGGCTGTAGCAGCTCAGCACTATGCGCGACGTCAGTAATCTCTTCACGTCGTGCGGTTTCTCTGCTCGTCGTGCTCGTGCTCAGCTGCAGCTACTATCGTGGTGTCGCGTAGTGCTTGCTTTCTGGAAAGCTCCACGGCTAACAGATGCTGGACAGGTTCGTCCGCGATGTCGCGAAGGAGCGGGTGTCTGCAGGTATCGAAGCACTTCGTTTTTGACCTTGGCAACTACCGTGGCCGCGTGGCAGACGCCATTCAGTTGCAATCGAATCGCGAGCTCGACTTGTCGCCGCACGCTTGCCAGAAGCACAAGTCGGGCGACAGTGGTCCCTATGGATGGACATAGACACTTCATTGCCTTACATGGCCTCATGCTCACGACGGAGATATACTGCAATCGAGAGTGGACTAGAGGGGAGACGATGCTGCGGCTCAAGGCACCAGTACCACCACCAGCACTCACCTACTAAGACATTACGCGCTAGCTCATCACATCCAGCTGATGGAGATCGATCGCTGGAAACGCTCACTATACAGCGTGACGTAGTGCGCGTCTTTGGTGGTGCTGGATGCTCTTTCGCGTTGCGCGGCGGTACGCAAAGGTTCGCTTCGCGCTTCCGGCGAGGATGGACCTGGTACCGACTTCAGTGCTTTGGTGCTGGGATATAACGCAGCCGTGCAGCAACCATGTCGTGCTGCAGCACTGTCCTGACAACTCTTGTGCCATTGACGGCCGTCATGACCAAGGGTTCATGCTAGGCTTAAAACGGTGATGGATCTTCTTTGTCCGAGCCAGGCCGCCAGCTAGTGCCGCGCTTCGACATATATGCTGAAAACTTTGCCGACCGCGCTCCGACTTTAATGTTGAAAGCTTCCCCCGTCCACCCGATTATTAGCGCTTTGATGCTGCCGCGACCTGGCATCGTAGACGCGGTCCAGCAGTCGGACAACGTCAACACTGGTAACAGACCCTGCGCCACACTGAGAAAGTGGCCAAATGCCAGCGTGCCAAGACATACCTGGAAGTCGTGAGCTGGCGTGTTAGTTTACCTATTCGCGTTGGTGTACGACGCACTTTTTATTGGTGTGGTGCTGCCTCGAACGCATAAGTGCGCTGCCACCCAGCTGAGCCTGCGAAATATATCCAGACCGGTGGAGATGTACGCGGACGACTATCATCCATGAATCTAACACCGACCGCAGCAGTGACAGCGACGACGATAGCACTTGCGTTACCAAAGAAGCCACACCGCTGGCTGACGTCTACTATTTGGAGGCGATGAAGGCAAATATTTGGTTCAGCTAGAGGAAGATAAGTCGACTTTAGCTGAACCTTATCATTCACCTTCATGACGGGGGAGCAGCACAGCATTGTTGAGAAGGCGGACGAGAAAACCGGTGCGGATGCTTCCGTCGAGAAGAACAAGAAGCGCTACTGGGAGTCGAAGAGGAAGGTGCCAACTATCGGAACAAATTTGCTTTTCCATCAATCGAAATCTTCCGCTAGTGAGCTCGAATCTGCACTTATCATACCCATTGTGATGGAGAGAGAGAATCGTAGGAGAAGCGTGACATGTGAAGTAATTGATACATAATGGCTCAAGCACTGTATCACTTCTGCGCCACTTAACACGCTCTTTGTTGACTAGGTGCTGCTCGGCCGAGTACGCTATCTTTGTGTATCATTAGGACTCCACGTTTCATCGTGTTATCAAAGACTTTATGGTGTACAAGGTGGAGATTTTATGAAGGTATTGACTGCATACAAGTAATTCAATTTACATGCAAATGGGTACATCATCCTATTCACTCCTTACTACTGTGTTTGTAAACTTATGCAGCTCCTAATAGCTCTTCAATCGCCTTCAAGAGTGATACTGCCGTGGGTCTCTTCTCCGGAATCTCCTGCAAACACTCTGCTTTGATTGTCTCCAGCTTAGCCGGGAGATCGAAGATGGTCGACGTCTGAATGAGGTAGCCCACGCTCCAAATGTCGACCTTGACCGTATGGAACGGACACGACAGTATTTCAGGAGCATGCGATTCCGCCTTCAAATGTTTCACGTTTGCAGCCGGTGACAGTGCTCCGTCGTCGAAGTCAATCAGAAACCACTTGTCATCTTCACCTTGGTACTTCAGCACATTATCCCATCTCAAGTCGCGATGCATAATGTTAATTGCGTGCAGTGCCACTAGCGCCATGAGTATATCGCGTAAGGCCGTCAGGAGCTGGTGAACGTTTTCAGGTGCAGCAAGTCGACCAACAGGATAAAGCGTTACGTGTCTTTTCTTCTTGTTTTCACCCATAAGCTGCACAACGTTCGGGACCGAACGTTCCTTCATTCTACGCTGTAATTCCTTCAAGTTCTGAATGATGCTGTCACTTGGCATATCCGAGGGATACGTCTTCACCACACAATTCTGTGCAAACGATATCTGCACACCATTGCCTCGTTCGATAGTGCCGTACTCGCGTATGCTTAGCGGCCAATTGTAAATAAGATCCACAACTGGTCGGAAAAGAGTCGAAAGATTGAGCAATGCGAGAAAAAACGAAAGCCGGCTACTGAGATGCTTCAAATTGTACGTTTCGATGGTTTCCACTTTTGCGCCACGTTCCATCATATCGTCTTTCCGAATAGTTACCAAGCACACTTCCAGTCCCACAGCAGCGTAGCCAAAAATATATGGCGCATCGTCATAAATCCATTCCAGTTTCTCGTGCAATTCTTTGATCGGCACGTCCAACGCTCCATTTGCTTTTTCTTCCCCGCGAAACACGCACACATTGCTAGTGCCGTAGTAAAAGCATAAGTCTGGTCGATAGAGGCCAGTAAAAGTAAACGCGTTCGTGTTGCGAGCATAGCTCCCGTTTATCACACTCTCCAGAAGTGTCGCAATGAGATTATCCCACGTGTAATGGTATGTCGCTTCAGTTCCGGACCTAATGCTGGGAGAATCAATAAAATTTCCCACAATCCTAATATTTTTGTCCCCAACTTTGTCACGTGGTTCGGATTCAAATAGTTTGTCGAAAGCGCGAGCACAGTTTCCAATGTCGTGATTTGAAAAAATAACCCGATAATACCGTTCATAGATAGGAATTTTAATACGAAGCGGGCGTTGCAGATACTTTTTCAAATCTTCACAAGTCAATGGTAGTACTGTAACCTGCTCATTCTTGATTGCATTTATCCAAGCGTCCAACGCGTCTTCATCCACCTTTTGCCGCTTCCTTTCGTTACCGACTGCCGTAAATTGCTCAGGAACCACCACCAGCACGTGAATCTGTCTCCCTACTGGGTCCTCCATACCTTCAAGGAGATCAGAAATATAGTCCTCTCCTTGCAGCTTTTGGTCTTCTTTCATTAACTCTACAACGTGATGAGTCTTCTCGCCCTTCTTCAGCTGTTTTACATCGTCCGAGCTCGAGGCCAGCCACTTGCCCTCTACCATCTTGGCAGGGTAGAGCTGCAGTTCATCCGCCGGAAACTGGTACATCCTCTTCGCCTTGATCGCATCTTTTAAGTCCCCCACCAACTGTCTCTTGTCAATATCCACAGGAAATACGCTTTCTTTCGTACCAACGATCGCGCATATCAACTTTACCATTCCTTCTTCTTCTGGCAGATTAACGAATGAGCGAGAAGGAACGACCAATATGATTCGTCATAGAATATGACTGATTGTATGTGAAACTAACTATACTGGGGCCAAAATGAGGGATATCCTTTCACTCTGATTGGCTGACTACCAGAATAACATATCGATGCCCTTACTTTAATTAAGTAAACGACTCAGACGGGTCAAAATTGTTCTTTCTAATCAAGCGAGGCGGCACCAGAGACAGGGAGGGAGGAATAACTACAAAAACAAGAGAAGTAGGTCACTTCCATCTCTCCTATGTCTGTCTCTTGCACATAATTTTAATTCCCTGTAAATAGACCAGCATAACCCCTCACTCTCTCTCTCCTATGTAGTAGTATCAGACCGTCTATTTCAAAAATCAAGGATTGGTAAGATGTCTGGAGTGCTTCTACCAGGACTTTGTCATTCTTCGCCTCGCTAGCTCAATCTGCTGGCTCGAGACGTCGGGCGTCACGGGGGACACTCGGAAAAGGGCACGTGAAATCGTGCATAAAGCCCGAGGTGTAAACAGTGGCTCAATGATCGCAAGAAGCGCCGGGCACCACACCGATCAGTCCCGATCGACCGCTGATGCACCTGGACGGGGCCGATCAATTTACGTTCTCGGCAAGTTCACTTCGTGGGACCGGGATTCGCGCTCGGCGATCAAGTCGGCGGCTTGAAGGCTGACGTAGAATAGCAGGAACTTTCGGAAGAAGGGATGGTAACCGCGGTCGTCATTCCTTTCAACCCGGGGGTAACAGGGTTGGTGCTCCCCTTACGGTTCGCACGCTACGCTTGCCCCCCCATAGCGCACGCAACAGAGGAAAAACCTCCCCCCTCTCTCTCTCTCTCCTATGTCTCTTCTGGCGACAATGATGAACGTTGTCATCGCCTTCATGGATGCCCGTTTCTACTTGTTCCAGTAATCAAGTGTATCCGTAGCCAAAGACGTCCAAGTACTTTTTTGCTGCTATTGAGATCATCGGCTTACAGAAATTTCAATACTGTGCAGATCAAAGTGGATCAGATGACGAACGATGCCACTGTAGCTCACACGAGCAGGTTATAAGGTTTGCACATATATATAAGTTTGTGGCCGCTACAATCGCTCACGACGCCCCAATTATTTTCATCTTGGCCTTGTACAAGTCCAATGTGGATGTGGTGTGCTAGTACATTTGCTGCAGCATCCCATCCCAAAGCGAGACTTTTCCTCGAAGCTCAAGCTGATGGCCATCTGTACATTTGATGTGAATATGCCTGGTGATGACGTGATGAATTTCAAGAGTGGCGTCAAAGGTGACTCTATTCTGGAGGGTATGCTGCGTGTTGGCGACGAGATTGAAGTGCGCCTGATAGTGTCAGCAAGGACGAAGAAAACAAGATGACTTGCATCGCTATTGTGTCGTTTTGTGTGAACAAGTGCGACCTTCAGTTCCGTATGCGGCTTCGCTCTAATTTATACACGGGAGAAGGTCAGTAAGATCTCGTACGCCGATATTTCTCATTCGCGACTCAATACTCTTCCCAAGCTTTATCCACTCGCAGAATCGTCTGCCAGCTTCTCACTTGAAAGATGCCATGGTTTGGGATTTTTTTCACTCCGTCCTGCACATGCAAACGTGGCTTTTCTGACATCGTGGAATTCTAGCCGGCTACCGATTCATGAACGGCTGCGGCAGTAACACGTTTGCTAATGTCAATGCTGAGTGGAAAGATGACTTGTGTGAAGTACCATTTCAATACGTACCAAGGTATCCGCAATATGCCTGCGGACGAAGGTGCCTTTCTTGCTGGTGCCGACCCGACATCGCCAATCAAGATTTGTTCGAAGCCATTGAAGGTAGCGAATTCCCTTCCTAGACGTTGCGTATCCAGACGATGACTCCTGAGCAAGCCAAGAAACTAATTGCGGTTGATGTGACAAAGGTTGGCCGCATAAATACTAACCAAAGAAGTCGGGTGTTTGGTATTGAAGAGGAACCCACACAACTACTTTGCCGAATTGAGCAACTTGCTTTTATCCATCACACATTGTAAACTAACACCCTCACGCAAGTTCATGTTTTCCACCGCAAGGTGTTGAAGTGAGGCAGCTCGTGACTAACTTGCGGAAAATATCACCACTTTGCTTGTGAATGCTTCCGAGCAGGTGCAGGAGCGTACGTTGGAGAATTTTAGTGATGTCGACGAGGACTACGCACACCGCGTGAAGGCAAAGTGCTGAAGACCAAGCACTTAATCTTCAATTATAAGAAAGAAACAACGGCGCCTCTTAATCCACCGCGCAAAGCATTCACGCCGGTGCACCGTAAGTTTCAAATTGGTACTCAGAGAAGGATTTGTTGTAGCTAATTAAGAACAGACAACGCTATCGCAGGATGAGTCTACCTCTATCTAGCTTCGCAATAATTGATATCGACCGTTTAAACAGTAAGTTGAAGACATGCGATGGTGTTGTTTTCTGTTTATTACGAAGGGTACTTGTAATAGGTTGACTTGTCTGAAGTCGTCAAGACATGCCTGTAGAGAATCCAACGATAAAAAGCAACAAATTGTGAGGTGACCGCTGTCGAAGTCGAGAGCGAAACTGAACTGAAGCAGCTTCATCAAGTAGAAAGGTATGGCCATTTCGAGACCTGGAAATGCGAATAAACTAGTCACAATCTAGGAGTGATCTCATTGTGTCATTTAGGTTATAGCAGTAAACGCTTACTTAACAGACATGCAGGCACGTCTTGTCGTTTTCCTGCCACGGGGCGCAATAAACATACTGTATCTTCGAAACAAATATGTTCGAATAAATAAGTTTGGAAGAACGTGGTCGTATTACTTTTTTTCTAAAAGCATGTCTGTTAACTGCACTTTTCCTGAGTGATTCTGAATGAATGCGTTTGTACGCAGGCAAGTTTAAGAACAATATGCTAAAGCAAGTAAATCACAAACACCTGTTGCGTTCTATTAGAGTAAAGTATGTTGATTCAACGAACACCGATGTCTGCTTGTCTATCTGCTTGTTTCTGTCTGGTGGGAAATGTATCACGATAGAATCAACTTCTCAATTGGCTTTTGTTAAAAGCCGAGTAAGTATGACGAATGTAGATGAGCTGCATCGAATCATACCGACTTGTGTTTGGTTAGGTATTCAATAACTGCTGGGGGACGACGTATCTACAAATATGTCGTCCTTGTGCTGCCACTAGCTCTATCTCAGTACATTACTTTTATAACCAGAATAAACGATAAATATTAATTCTACTTTACAAGTCGTTTGCATACTGTATTATTTTTCAGGTACAAAGCAAAAGCTCATAGGACCCCCCGTAGCAATTGTACGCACTCGTGCTCGAACTGTCGTCACCCGAACAGCGTGAAAACGCATTGGACAACACGTCCTCAGTGAAGGAGGCATCGATTGTTGAGCCAGTGACAACTACTGCGCCATCACACGCGGATACTGCTGAGACGATATGAAGCTCAGTATTGAAACGGTTCTGGTAGTGACTTTGTTTGATTCCTTTTCGATGATGAACGTTCGTCAAGTCTCAATAAATAAACAAGCTGACGAGTTCGTGGCACAAGATGAGGCTTCTTGACATTTAGAGTCCGACGTTGCCAGAATCCGACGTTTCCTGTCGCTGACGTAAGGTCTATGCGTTGATGTGGGAACGAAAGCGACCGTAGACAAGTGCGTCAAGCCTATACACTTGTGTGGACGACTCTCCGTTGGCAATTGAGCCGCAGTTATCCCTTACTGTGAGATGGTTTTGTTTGCTGCGATATCTATAGGCTCTTGCAGCTGGGCTGTAGCAGCTCAGCACTATGCGCGACGTCAGTAATCTCTTCACGTCGTGCGGTTTCTCTGCTCGTCGTGCTCGTGCTCAGCTGCAGCTACTATCGTGGTGTCGCGTAGTGCTTGCTTTCTGGAAAGCTCCACGGCTAACAGATGCTGGACAGGTTCGTCCGCGATGTCGCGAAGGAGCGGGTGTCTGCAGGTATCGAAGCACTTCGTTTTTGACCTTGGCAACTACCGTGGCCGCGTGGCAGACGCCATTCAGTTGCAATCGAATCGCGAGCTCGACTTGTCGCCGCACGCTTGCCAGAAGCACAAGTCGGGCGACAGTGGTCCCTATGGATGGACATAGACACTTCATTGCCTTACATGGCCTCATGCTCACGACGGAGATATACTGCAATCGAGAGTGGACTAGAGGGGAGACGATGCTGCGGCTCAAGGCACCAGTACCACCACCAGCACTCACCTACTAAGACATTACGCGCTAGCTCATCACATCCAGCTGATGGAGATCGATCGCTGGAAACGCTCACTATACAGCGTGACGTAGTGCGCGTCTTTGGTGGTGCTGGATGCTCTTTCGCGTTGCGCGGCGGTACGCAAAGGTTCGCTTCGCGCTTCCGGCGAGGATGGACCTGGTACCGACTTCAGTGCTTTGGTGCTGGGATATAACGCAGCCGTGCAGCAACCATGTCGTGCTGCAGCACTGTCCTGACAACTCTTGTGCCATTGACGGCCGTCATGACCAAGGGTTCATGCTAGGCTTAAAACGGTGATGGATCTTCTTTGTCCGAGCCAGGCCGCCAGCTAGTGCCGCGCTTCGACATATATGCTGAAAACTTTGCCGACCGCGCTCCGACTTTAATGTTGAAAGCTTCCCCCGTCCACCCGATTATTAGCGCTTTGATGCTGCCGCGACCTGGCATCGTAGACGCGGTCCAGCAGTCGGACAACGTCAACACTGGTAACAGACCCTGCGCCACACTGAGAAAGTGGCCAAATGCCAGCGTGCCAAGACATACCTGGAAGTCGTATACGTTCAAAGGAACGCTGACAGTCAGCGTTCCAGTTCCACTTTACATTTTTCTTGAGTAAACAAGAAAGATGTACTGTCATTTCGGCGTAGTTGCGTGAGTACTTGTGCAAGTACGCCTCTAGCCCAAGGAACTTCCTTAGTCCTTTGACA